CCCCTCCCCCCACGCACAGGCGACAGCCCATCAATTCCCCTGCCCCATCTGTCCGTGTCAGCGGGTACTTCAGCAGGGGCACCCAGATCGCAGCGTGGACACCCTTGGACTGGACCTGATGTTTGATCTTGCGGAGCTTGTCCGCGGGGAGGTAGGAGGGGCGGGTGTCCCAGACATACACACAACCATCGTCGCTGATGGTCACGAACTGGTGACTCTGCTCCACCGCCATTTTTTTTCCATCAAAGGCGAACTCAACCCCTGGAGATAACCATTGCATGTCGTGCACCGGGCGGTGATGGGACATTTCGATTCGGGAGGATTGAATGGGTTGGAGCTGCGGGACTAACAGGTCGCCATACTTCTTCCACGTTACCCCGTCCACACTGCTCGGCAGTGGGGGTACCTCACCGGCCCCTTTGAAGCCCGCGGCGTCCAGCACGTGCAAGGAGGTATCCCCTCCTACGCTCTCATTGAGGGTGACATTGAAGTCTTCTTGGAAGGAAATGGAGCGCTTATTCTGCGACGCCTCAGGCACCTGTAGTTCTGCTGTGGTATGCTTCGCTAGGTTAAGATCCCATAAGTACACTTGACCATTCATCCCACCGCCTGCAATGAGATTGGAGAAGGCAGGGCTGAAGCTTAGTACTTGGACCTCCGCTGGGGCCTCTAAGATGTACCTCGGGTGCATGGGATCCGTTAGCTCCCAGACGAGCGCAAAGCTGCTTTCACACAGTCGCTGTTCATCGATGCGCTCCTCTAAGCCATGGGGGGCTATGGAGGTGATGCAGATATAATCATCTTTTGTGAAGGAGCTACGCCAAGAGACGCTCGTGATGCGGCGATTCTTGGTGGCCGCGTGCACGTAGTTTCCCTTTTCCAAGAGGACCAAATCATCACCACCGCCCATCATGGCTTCATCCTCGCGAAACAAGATGTATTCATCGGTGTAAATAGGGACCTCGGTGTTCTGCGTCAGACAGTGCAACGTACGCGGCAATACGTGATTCAAAAAAGACATTAAATTAGGATCCTCCCGCTGGGGCAACTCCATGTGATGGATGAAGGCATTCACGAGGGTGGGAACGGCCTGGACGGCGGCGTTAACCTGCGGGGCGTAGTGCGTTTGCACCGCACGGTCCAGGCGCCGCGCGACCGCTTGAATCCCCTCATCAGCCTCACCGCGGAAGACCTGGTAAAGCGCATTAGGCGCTCCGCGCAGGTCCCGGCTGTCTTCACTCGCTTCCTTCGTGATGAGGCTGTGATGGGCCGAGTGGTGTTGCAGAAGCATCCGGCGCGGGACTTCGAACTGGACGGAGATGGGGGGCCTCCGGCCTACCGTCGCGGCGTTCTCAACCGCAATCGCCACCTCACTCACAAAGCCTTCCCACGTCCCGCGAGGAATCACTGTGCAAAGTTTTTCCGCCAGCTCGAGGAGTTCGTCGGTTACGAACCCAGAGTCATATGGTGTGGGAATTGGGACGGATTCACTTTTAGTGGCATGCGGGGTTGATTCGCTCTTGTTCTTACTTTGGTTTTGCGATAGGATACCAATTCCTTGACTGACGCTTAGTTCAGAGGATTGGAAAGTCTTTTCAATCCTATTTTTGGGTGGTGAAACCACCTTGTTACCTTTTACAGGCATTCTCTATTTTTATGTACTATCGTGAATAGATAAAATGACTCTTTTTTTTTTACAATTAAGAATAATATATAAATAATAACAAATTAGCAATTCCTTAGAGACAATATTTATAAGGAGCTATCAAGGACATGGTCACATCACCAACACAACCAAATAATAATGAGTAAGATACACATCAGTCATATGCACACAAGCTCAAAGTGAAGGGGGAGGGAAGTGATGAAAAAGCATCTATATTTAATTATTCAGACAGAAGGATCTCCATAATAATATTTTGTTAAATAGCACTTGCTTTTTCCTGTCTTCGTTCACTTTTCATTTTACTTAGATTCAATAACTCAAACTTGTAGCAGTTAAATTTGATAAACGGATGATTCCTAAACAACTCCCAGAAATAATACGAAAAGTCATTTTTTTTTCAACCCTTTGTATTGGAAACATTCATTTCTCTAATTTTCAATTTTCAGTGGGAAAAAAGATTTATGTGTTATCCCATCTTCGCATCGGTACACAAGATGCACTAAAAATTCGCCAACGTAAATCAACGTAACACAAATCTCTTAATGGATCACCCAAAGCATACTAGTTTATTTCTTTCATAGCGATTTTTTATCTATAAATGCATAACTTTTTCCTCTTAAGACAAATTCCCAAAGGTATTATGTTGATTGATAATAATAATATCAATAATATATATATGTGAAAAACAGTAAA